AAGGACAGGGCAGGAGCAGAACAAATATTTTGAAATCAGGCAGTGATTACCCTGAAGTTTGCAGTTGTGTTGCTATTTTTACACAGGGGGCTGTTTGCACTGGGAGATTGTTCACAGTTCCCTGGTGCAGAGACTCAGACAGTGGAAGAGGAATTATATTATCAGGCGTTTATTTTATTTTGTGGGTTTTTTCCTTTTTTTTTTTTTTTTTTTTTTTTTTTAATTGAGGACAGAACATACACTGCAGCAGAAAGATTCAGCTCAGAATGGATGAAAGAAGGGATGGACACAGAAAAAAACGTAGCATTTATTGCCCAATTCTAGGATGCTAACTCGGTCTTGCTTAGGAAGGGCAATGACTGCATTTTAACAAAATCCTTTTTTTTCCCCCCCTCCATCCTGTCATTCTCAAAATAGCTTCTCCCAATCTCAGTTTTCCTACAAGGATATGTGAATACTGAATTTTTGTTTATGTTATGGGAGGAAGTAAACAACCAAATAAGATCTGCACCATAACATGTGAGGAGCTAGACACAAATAAGATCTGCACCATAACATGTGAGGAGCTAGACATGCTGGGTATTAAGAGGCTACCCAAGGAGCTCAGTATGTGAAAAGAGAAAGAAAAGGAAAATGATGAAGACAAAAGGAAAAAACTGTTTGCAATTACTTTATAACCGGGTAAATAGAAGTTGAGTGACTTACCCAAGGCTGTAGAGATACTCTGTGGCATTGCTGGGACACAAAGCCAGTTTTTTTTGTCTTAGGGCTACACCCTTCATATGATCAAGAAGATACTTACATTTTTCTTTCTCCTAGATGTTTCTGCTTAGCTATTTCACAGGCAGAAATCCCAGTAATCTTCCTATTACTCTCTCATGGAGGGACAAGCACTAGTTAGAGCTGCCCTTCCCAGCTGGTGTCCAGCACGGTGCAGGAAGGCAGCCCCAGCAGCCTCCAAGGCTCTTTCATGTTGGAGTCATTCCTGTGCTCAGCCTGGCTATAGCCAGTGGGCACCTGGGGTTTGGGGTGGCAGCTGTCTGCGGTGACACTGCTACTGCCTGACCCACGTGCTGGTAGGGCTGCCCAGGGGGGTGTCCCTGCTCCTGTCCCCTGCTGAGCTGAGTCAGCCCTAGCCCAAAGCTTCCTCACTCCTGGGGAGAAGAGGCCAGAGGAGGCTCCAGCATAGCTCTTCAGATACCTAGTGCAGGGAGCTTTAGCTCTTCCCCCAGAGGTCTATCCTGCTGGCACATGGAAAATCTACTCCTGAAGGGCCATGACTTGTCTCCTATCTCCACCTCCTGGTCAGGGCTCAGCCCCTCTCCCCAGCCATGCTACTTAAGGAAGGTCATCCTTCCTCTGTAGCCTCCTAGGACAGAGAGCTGGTCTTCACCAGCTATGGCAGTTGCCTAATTTATCAGATCTGCACATGCAAATAAACTCCCAGTCTCCTGGGAAAACCCATTCACACCAAATTTTCCCCAAACTTGAATCCAGAGAGAGCAGATATGAGCTGACAGATAGGAAAGCACTGGGGCCAGATGTTTCTCAGGCTTTATCTTGCTTCTGTCATGGCCTGACCTGGGTAAGTCATGTCCCTTTACCCAGCAACATAGTGCAGGGGTAGCTGGGGTAGTCACAGGGTGAGATTAATCAGTGACTTGTAAATATTTCTAAACTCAGAAAAAATGAAAGTTGGGTGATGGAAGACACTGAAAAGTTTGGAATGTGTGAGAGCTCAGAACCAGAGTTTTTTAATCTGCCCTGCACACACACACATGCCACACACTGCTGGGCAAGGACAAGGTCCTTCCTCAACTGGTCTTCACCAACATCAGGGTAAACCTCAAGCTGTCAGAACGCTTGAGAGGATCATGGTGGTTTCTGGGCTTTGTTATTTTTTATCTTGGAGTATTCAGCCCACATATTTGAGCTTTACTCTCACAACTTCCTTACAGATACAGTGAAAGGCAACAAATTGGGCTGCCTTCTTTCTCCAGGGGGAGAGGGGTGGATAGAGGTGGGCATTTAAGGCTAAGCCTACTACACTTGCTGAAAAAACTTCCCTTGAAATACATGTGCGGAGTTCAAATCTATCTTCAGCTAAACCTTTGAATGAAAAATAAGTCGACAGCCTCATTCCGCCCATCTGATGCACAGGCGGCACACCCCACACACAGGAGCTTGGGATTTGGGGGAGAAGCAGTGGAGGGATTCCCATCAAGGAAACCCCGCTCACTGTCTGCTCTGGTAAGATGCGGGGGAGGGCTCCTCTCCTTCTCAGTGATATGAACATGAGATCCGTTGCCTCATGGTTGCGTAATGCCCTCACTCATTTGGGAATTCATGCATTACTCCAATTTAGAGCCAGTAAGAAGAAACCCCTTCTTCTGGGGACTGGGGGCTAAGGACTGCTGCTGAGCAATGTCACCGCGCTTGTGTTTCCAATGTTCATCTCACACTGCATGGAAACCCTTCCCTCTTCTAGGTTTCCTCTCCAAGAGAAATAGCTGCTTCACCTGGGGCTGGAGCTGGAAGTGAGTTAGCATGAATAGCTAACTATGTGTGCTGTGCGACTCCCTCGGAGAACTGGGGACCACAACATGGGAACTGAACTGATTCGAGCTTTTAGCACAACACGGCTTCTTCAATGTCAGCAGGCTGGTAAAGAGTGACATAGCATAGAAGACCAGCCATTTCTGGAAAACTCATCTTGCCCTTACAACCTCCCTCTAGCCTGCTCCTTGGCAACAGAGGATGAGATGGACCCTGGTTTTAAACTATGTCAGGTTACCAACTTCTGCAATTGCACTATAGCTGTATCTATACTAATACAGGTTTGGAAGTACACTAATTTACTCTAAGCTCTCTTCCCAAACCAAAATAGGCTCTTGGCTTCTCTTTATGTTTTGGTTGTTATGGCTCATCAAGCTAATGGTGGCACAGACTGCTCTCAGGGGGTTGTCACAGAGTGGCAGAGCTGGAGGGCACTTGGGTTGCTTTATCTAATCTATCCATCTAGCTGGTGCAGAGTCAGTCGTAACCAGCGTCATTCCTGACAGATGCCAGTTCAACCTTTTTAAAGGCTTTGCCAATATCCTTTACACACAATCTCCTTTTCACAGAGGACCTCTCTGTGCTGCAGACAGTAAGTGCAATGGTTCAGCACTGGCCACACTCATGCCTCCAAACGGAGAACCTGGATGGACCTGGCCAAGGTCCGTGGTAACACTACATAAAGTGGACTGGACTGTTAAATCTGGCAGGCAGCAACCAGCCTCCATGGTAGCCCAGAAACATTAAGCAAGCGTAGGTTGAACATGCACTGCAGAGCTGTGAATCTTGGGGACAATATAACTAAAAGATGAGAGACATCATACCTTCTACTCCTTCTTTTGGAGACTCTTGGAATCATGAAAATGAAATGGAGGCATAAAAAGAAATATAGCTACAGAAAACAGCTCCAAGGAAGACTTGCAATAGGAGGCTGAGGTATAGGAATACTCTTAGCTGAGCCTCAGGACTAGGATTTCTACTGGCCTTGATGACAATAAGCCTGACAATGCAGGATGCTGTTATGCTCTGATATAGCTACAGGGACAGTGGCACCATGCCAGCTGGGTGTTTTATTCATATTTTGCTACTCTTATAAAGATAGGCCCAAGTGACTCTCATGTCACTGACCACATACTACACATTTAAGGTCATTCTCATGGATTTGATTTCTGGGGGTTAGGTTGTTACTGTTTTGTTGTTTTGTGGTTTTTGGCGTTTTTTTTTTAAGATATTAATTTCTTTCCCTCTGCTCTTCTCAATTTAATTAAGGCCATGTAATCTGGAGATCTGTAAGGCTCTAGCATGAAGTCTCTGGCTATCAAGTTCCCATGCTCACAATTAGTAAATGGAGACAAGAAGAGCAGCACTGGAAGAAAGGGGTTTTAACTTAAGATGCTTAAGAGGATCTGTGATCCTGTTGTCTCATCACTGACAGGAGGGCCACAGGTGAGGAAGGTTTTAGGTTTCAAGCCAAGATTCAGGACATTTTAACCAGTATGAAAATCAGACATTGTTGGACTTTCTGGAGACAGACATAAGGAGGAATTCCTAGGACATTGGAATTAGGAGTACTAAAGGGATTTTAAGCCTCCCCCTGTAGTGTTCAAGAAACATTGAACAACATTGATGTCTCCTTGATCTTAACTGAGAAGTTCTCATTTCCTCTCAAATGTCAATGAATGCTGGCTTTTGAGCAACAGAAGCCTGAAATTACCAAAATTAATTTTTTCACATTCTGATTATCAGCGAGTGCTGTATCCTTCTTTTCTTACCCATATCATGCCATAATAGCCTCAGAGACATCTCACTTAAACTTTGCACTTGCTTGTAGACAGATTCTTGCAGAGGGAAAGGGCCTTCAACACAGTCAAGTGGAAGACAAGAGGCTTGGAAAAGTCTAGTTTGGCACCTATGGTGCTTCCCCCAGGACTTCTACACTGCACTGATGTATGGAGAGCACAAGCACACGAAACAGAGGGCACACTGACTCGCAACATCATCCAGGAACTTGCTGGCATGCTTTTGAGTTCAGTACTGGTCTGCCATACTTTCCGTGTCGTGCATGAAAAGTTGTGTCTCATACCACACTCCTGCAATGCTCAACTAGGCATCCTCAGCATAGTTTTATCTTATCTTAGGATGAACTCAAAGTATAGATTCAGAATGGTACCATCCCAGAATTAAGAAAAGTAGATGTGGTGTTTTGGGAAGATTTCAATTAAGTGATTGAATAGAGCTCATGAACATTTTCCATTTCTAGAACAGATGTACTGACATGAGGAATTCCCTGCTATAAATCTCTTCTTTCCAAGAACCCATTTCCCCCCTTTCTTCTGAGGGAGAATTTTTTTTCTTAGATGTTCTCAAAGTGCAATAGAGTGTAAGCTAGGAAATATTTTACACTTGGCTTTCTCAGAGAAAACACCATACCTGTTATGACATACCTGTCTCCAAGGATCTTGCCTCTGTCATGGGATTTTCACTGCCATCTCAGATGCTATGGAGCCTCTTGTTCATGTCCTGTGCTGTACCACAGTAATGGCTTGTCAGTGAAAGTCTCTACACATCTCTCATATAGGCACCTCAAGATGTTGGCTGTGTCCACTCAGACCTGAAAGTAAAAAAATGAGAAAAATCAAAATTTGCATATTTAGGCAATGCTATGATTCAATTGTCATGGGTATGGAAAAATTCTTCTATGCTGGTTCTTGCTGCAGCCACAGCTGAGAACTTCTGTGGGCTGTATCCCTGCACAGGTGGTCTCATGGTGAGATTTTGAATTGCCCACAGATGCAAGGAAAAAACATTGGAATAGAAGTAGGTGGTACATTGGGAAAAACATCAGACCTTCTCACTGTGCTTAAACATGGGACAGATGCAGCACCTAAAGAAGTAATTTCTGTGTAACTCCCTCCTCAATGATGATGCTCCATTACAGAAATGAAGGATAATACAAATAGCCAAAAGCATGAATCCCCTGGTTCAGCTTCCTAAATGGAAATTTCCTCAAAAGGCAGGTGACTGTCTGGGGGCTTGCAGCCTCCACTCTGATGTGGTACCAAAGATGACGAGAAGATGGAGGATGCTGTTGCACGTTTGATACTGCAGTGGTTTGGCACTGCAGGTTTGGGGAAAGGAGGAAACCTAGCTTGAAGGTTAAAGTCAAAACTGAGAATCCCACCTCCTAATTTGTGTTCCAGGAACTGTCTGTTAGGTGGCTTTGCACAGATAAATGTGGCTCACTGCCCCTCCTTTTATAAGCAGGTTAGTGACACCAGCTGTCTCCTGGGAGTACCTGAGACTGAGTGAAGCAGTGGCTGCAAAGGGCTTTAGGAACCTCAGTTAAGGGATGAGGGTAAGAAAATATTAACTGGCTGGTAGTAGACATGCAAAAGATGCCCTTCTGCATATTGACTATAGGAAAGGAAAGGGAAAAATTACTCTAAGTGCTTCTCCTTTTCATTTTCCTTTAGACTTCTGCTGCCTGATTCTTGTTTCTGCTTCACAGGGAATTTTTTTTTTTTTTTTTTTTCATCTGTCATATAGGCAGAAAACTCCTGGACCAGGACTGTGAGGATTTTTTTGGGTGGGGACAGCTGCAGATAGGTAGTAAGCCTGTACATTTTAATCTCCCTATCTGGCTAGATTAAATACATTTATAGCACACAAAATGTGCTGCAAAGTAGAAGCTAGAAGCCTGGCTTTGTTGGGCAGGAGAGAGTTAATCCCTATGGGGTGCTCATGTACGTCAGAGCAGGTTCCTGTCTGTGCAGTGCTCAGCTAGGATTGAGAGCTTTTGTTCCTTGTTGTTTTTCATGATTTCTTTGCATTTAATAGTGTTTGGATTTTTTTTTTTTTTAATACATTTTAAAGAGCATTTCAAGCTGGAAAATGGGGGGCTGTCTGAGAATCCTGTGGACTGCAATCCCCTTGGTATTCTAAGATATTAAAGAACATCATAGACACAGGCAGGACAAGTCCTCACCATGGCTGTGGTTTCTGTACCTCAGCCTTTAGTGCCCGTGCCACACCCTGCTTGGTCAAGTTCCTAAATCATCTCTCATCACCTGCCAGGGGGCTGAGCAGGGACTAACAAATGGTGGTGGGACTTGGGGTGGGGATGCTCGCACCAGTTCTCCAGCTCTGTCCCTCTCGGTCTCCAAAAAGCAGCTTTTACCTGTCCCAGCAGGATTGGTGACTATCAGGTGAGAAGACCTGATGTTTTGCTCCCAGGTTCCAAGTAAAGTCCAGCTCGAAGCATGACTCTCCTGTTTGATTTTTGACTGAATTTAAACAGTTTGGAAGAAAGTGGTGTCATTCTCCGAGCATGAATCCAGCCCGAAAGATTTGAAACTGACAGAGCCTGAGGTGCTTTGTGCTCTGAATTACAGACATTTCAGGACAGATGCAGTGCTGGATGCTGTCTCTACCCGCTCCAGAAAAGGTGAGCAGGGAACTCCCTGCCAATGGGCTGTCCCCTGGGCTCTGGAGAGACAGGCTGCTGTGAGAAGCTGGAGGGCACGCAGAGGTGAGGCACTGAGCTGGTGAAAAAAGCTGGGGAGGGTCATCTGGAAAGCAACGATCGTGAGCTTCGTGAAATAAATAAAGATTAGCCCAGCTGTGACTGAAGTTTTTGCCAAAACAACAACCCACAGTGACAGGCGAGGGAATCGCACACCGCAGCCCGAAGGGCGGATCGGCGTGAGGCTGCACAAAGGAGCATTCCGTGGGCTGGGAGGATCGCCCGGAGAAACCTTCCACGGGCAAACCCTCCCCTTACAGAATCTAGAGCTGAAGTGGGTAAACCCCTCAGAAGTGCAGTGCTGGACTCCTCCTGCCCCGGAGGGGATCGCCGGTAACACCGCGCCGCCTCCTCCTTTCCACCCCCGGCACCCGCATCCCCCGAGTTTCAGACCGTGTGGGCGGGGAGGGAAGATCCCCCCCAGCCGCCGGGCGCTGCGGTGCCCGCGGGGAAGCCGGGCCTCCCCCGGGGCCGCTAAC